TAACATATTTAAAGGAAACTGAACCTGCAGAGAAACTCAAAATGTACTTCCAGCTAATCTATCTCCATAAAAAGATATAAATTTTACTGTACTATACTCAAGGTTTCATCTTACCTAAATAATCTTCCCATGGGGCCAGCTACCAGACCAGTTTAAAACAATCCAGTTTGCTAAAGTACATTGTCTTTGTAGCATCACTTTATTTTCTTTAACACATTCCAACTGCATTCACTTAACTGCTCACCACATCCCAACAGATTTTAAAGCCCATATAAAGTTGCTTCATGATACTAAAAACCAGAGCTCTGCTTTTGTGTAGCAATTGTTACCTATCAACAGTAAAGCTGCATCCATTACTGCTGCACCGTTCAACATTGTAGCCATCAAAATATCATGGCCAGGACAATCCACAAAAGAGACATGCCTGTTGTAGGAGAAGGTGAAAAAGAAGTCCAAAAGCCAATTACCAACGGTTCCTCTGACTGATTTATGTGAGTGAATAGGCAGACACAGAAGTTAAAAGCATCCTTAAAATAGACAGATAAACATTTTGAGACAGATGCTGAGAAGCAATACCTTAAAAGTATTTTCAAGAAGTCCTATTTTCAAGTAGTCCAAAGACTACTGAATGGCTACTGAATACTTTTTCTGAGTTTTTAAGATTCAATACCATATATCCATATTAGGTACTGCTTTAATATTTCACCAATTTACCTGTAAATTAGACTAGAGTTAAATACACCAGAATAAAAAAACCAAAACCAACCCAACCTACCACCATCCACCCAAAACCCAACAAACACACCACATGGGATTTCCCTTATCTCTTTTAAAAGACATCTCCCATTCTCCAATTTTAGGAAATCATGCATCTTTAGTTACATACTTATAACTGCACTTCACTTCGAAGATTTATCTACAGAGACAATGTTACATTTCCAACCTTATGATTTTACTGTGCAGACCATAATAGTTGAGTTGCTATGTTCCTTCCTGAACCTATCCAGTGAAGAATTCTTGTTTCCTAGTAGCATGCCACCAAAAACCAAGGGACTAATTTGCTTCTTTGCTGACAATGTTAAATATCTACTACAAGCAGAAAATCAGTGGGATAAAGAACACAGAGCTTTTAAGGGGTAGTTTTGCAATGGCTGCCTGCCTGCCACAGTTCATCTTGGTAAGCACTCCGTGTATTTTATCATAAGCATGAATTAAGAACCTTGTTGTATCACCCAAGGCAGCTTAGACAACACCTTAGATCAGGGGTGCCCCCACCTCAGAATGTGCTATAACAACCCATTTCAGCTCACAGCCCAATCCTGACTGTTCTCAGTTATGCAAAGGGAAGTAAAGACAATTTATTCCAGTCATTTACAGCTGTTACCTGACTAGCTTGAAGTTCCCTTTGGTGCCAGGAATATCTGTAGGGAACTCATCTGGGGTGCTACTTCCACAGGATCGGTAACACTCTGGTCGAGAACAGCTTGGGTCATCCAGCTTGTAAATCTGTGATGTTTTAGAATTGGAAAAAAGTTTAATTCCTCAAGGGTTAGTTACCTGTAAGCTCACATCCACCCTGAAATACATCTGTAATGTATTTGCTGCAGTAATGACTCACCTTTGCATTAGCATAACCCAGCTTGATTGTGATATTTCTTTCCAGTTCATTTTTAAATCTGACAGTATGAACTCCAGATATAGCTTTGACTACTGTCGACTTTCCATGGGCTACATGACCAATTGTACCTGTGTTTTAAAAGGAAATGTTTGTCAATAAACCATTGTTTAGTTTTGTGCAATGTTCCATTATTATCAACACACAATTACGCCAAATTCTTCACGGCAGGTAAGTCCAGAGCCCCCATCACAAGCACATACAGGGTTTGTCATCATTTTGGTTTTAAACAAACAAAAAAATTGAGCTCCCAATGGACAGACCTTGCATTTTTATGAAACTCGTTTCAATGCTCAATTTCAAGGTAAAATAAACTTTGCTCCCACTCCATTCAGCTGTGTTCCTGAAATAAAATCGGTGCTTTTTAAGTCAAAAGGGTTTGACATGTCTCTAAAACTACTATGTAACTGTTTCAGTAAGAAACTTTAAGGTGTTGCCATATAGGCACCATCTGCTACTGCAGGAGGACCAAAAAGAGTCACATTAATGCACCCCTGTTTTTTATAAGTTTGTTTTTACCTATATTAATTGTTGCTTGTCTGCTGATGACTTCTGGTGAAAGAGGCGTCAACTTGGTCACATCCTGTATAAGGGAGATTTTACAATTTATTCATCTTGTATATAAGTGTTTAGAAAGTATTATGTGTATTTCCTTAAAAATTATCCAATAGTTCTATTCAGCAAAATCCAAGCAAGCTCCTTGAAATAATTCTAGATATGCATTCCAGCCTTTTATGTGTGTGAAATAAGGCAAAAAGCGAACCAAGTCCTGCCTGTAAATCAGCACAGGCTGCAACCCAAAGCCCTGACCGTAACTCGGTATCGGCTGCAGGGTGTCACAGATGGGGTAAACAAAACAAAAAACCTCTAAAGAACCTCCAACAAAAAAAACCCAAACCCTTACATACTCCCAAACCTAAATGACACATACCAGGCAAATCCAAGTTAATTTTCAGTGGGTTACATGATGACTTGCACTGATGTTTTAAAACCAAAGCTTTGTCAATAAACAGTTGTTTAATTGGTGTAAGGTCCCATTACAGCCAATATATAATTACAACTATCACTTTGGAGTCCATAGGTCCAGAGACTTCATTATTATCATGGATTTTTAATGGCTATTTTTTTCTCAAATACTGTTATTGCAACTTGAGGTACCAGACAGAAATTCTGCTGTTGTAAATAGTCTGTTGTGTGAACCTACTGGTAGCCACAGTCACAGTAAAAAACTTACAAATACATTCTGTGTAGATAAAGAGATAACTCTGAATGAGTTGGTTTGGGTTTTTTTAAAGCTATTTGTCCAAATAATGGACAAGTGTTGAAATCCACTGAACTGTTGCTCTGTACTACTTTTGAAACTGTTAACAGCAACTTTCCATCCTGCTCTGAATTCATATGGATGAGGTGCTCAGTTCAAGGAACAATTCAGGATGGCAAAAGAGTCCTCAGTGCAGGACAAGACATAAATATTTTGCTAAGATACAAAAACATGCACACTAAATCACATATTGCTCACACTGTTACATGCATAATGATCAAATAAACACACCTCTGCAACAATGTAAGCTCACTCCTTTTGTTCTCAAGTTTTACACGAATAAAATGTTCACGTTCAATACAAACCAAGTCTTGAACGCTTAAGACACACAATTAAATGTGTATTTCTTGTATACCGAACTGAAAAGCACTGCCCTGCGATGGGAACGTGACCTGTAGATGGCACCATGTGGCCGGGGAACAAGCATGTCAGCGTGATGCAATTTCTGCCACCAGGAGAACTCTTCCTGTACAATTGTGCACGCAGGGAGAGTTTTTTTGGCAAGACTGGTACAAGGCCATGCTCAGCAATAAGCTGCAGTCAGCTGTAAGCACTCAAGGGCCCAAAAGGGGCAGGTGAGACCGTAAAGGTAATTCCTGCTGACTTCTTAGCTAGTCCTATCCGTGCCTTTTCCAACTGGGAAATGGGATGGTCAACAATGAGAGGAAGTAAAGAAACTTTCTGAGATGACCAACACGTTCACTATAGTACAAAGAGAATTCCCGTGCTAAAACCCGGAGAACATCGAACACTATTACTGTACACACAAATAGTCTGTTCTGGGCGGGCAGCAACAGGATTTTCGAGTAGTTTTGTCAGCACAGAGGTGTAATGAGTGAGACAGACCAGGAGAGACACTTAACAGGCAAGATCACCGCAGGCTGGACTCGATGATCTCAGAGGTCTTTTCCAATTTAACTGATGCTCTGATTTTTTGAACTGATTTTCTTGGTAGATCTTAATAACCAAGAAAATTTGCTTGGCAAAACAACCAAGGCAGGGTTGGCAGCCAATCCCTCGAGCCTGCTGGGGACACACAGCAGCAAATTATGGTTCTACTTCGGAGAGAGAAGAGCCTTTAGTACCACAGAACAGGACAGCCCTTAGAAGGGGAAAAGCGCACCCACCACTGAGACATAAAAGGTCTGCTCGCACAGGTGGGACGCCGAGACTCTCACTCGCCTCACCCGGGCGCCCCACACCCACTGCGACCGGCCCGACCTGCTCCCAGCACTGCCCGCCTCCGACCGCGCCTGCCGCCCCGGCCCCGGCCTCGCCGCTCTGCCCCTCGGCCCAGCCCTGCGGTGCTGCCCCCTCGGCCCAGCCCCAGAGCGCTGTCCCTCGGGCTCCCGCGCCCCCTCAGGGCGCACGGCCGCCGCGGGGCCGGCAGGCGTCTCGGAACCTCTCGGCCCGCACCCCCCCCCCCACCCATCCGGAGCGGCCCGGCTGTCCCCGCCGAGCCCCGGCAGCCGCCCCCGGCCGCCCCGTGGGTCTCACCAGCGTGCCCAGGTCCTGCCGGCTGAGGTGCGGCTGCCCCAGAGTCACTCCCGCCTCGTCCCCCGCCATCTTGGCCCGAGCAGGAAGTGAGGAGTCCCGCGCGGTTCGCCTTGATCGCCGGCTCCGCTCGGCGCCTCCGCCGCCGCCCCGCAGCCCCCAGCGCCCTCTGGCCCGCCAGCACGGCACCGGCCGGCCCGGGGACGGGCACTGGGCTGGGGAAACGACCGCGATCGGCGCTGCGGGGACACGGCCGGAGCCGCCGCGGGGAGGCCAGCAGCTCAGGCGCGGCCGCTGGGCAGCCCTAGGAAAGGTCCCCGCGGCCGCCCTCGCGCCGGGTGATGCAACCGGGGCCTGCGGCGGGGGCCTGCGTCCGCGTGCGGCGGCGCGCGGGGCAGGAGCGCGCGCTGCGCGAGCGGCGGGGTAACGGGGGCGCGCGCGCTTGGGGGGACCTGCGGCGCGGCCGGCGAGCGCGCGCGGCGGGCACGCGCAGCTCGGCCCTCGGCCGCCGCCGGGAGCGTGGCGGGGACCACATCCCGTGGAGAGCCGCCGACAGAGCGCCGGGAGCCTGCGAGACGGGAGCGCCTGCCGGCACAGCCCGGCTGGGGACCCCGTGCTGGTGCAGCGCGTACGTGAAACAGCACCGTGCGCTCGGGACGGGACCCGGTCCGGGGACAGACGCACCGGAGGCGGGAAGTTCGCCCGGGGTTTGCGGTCTGCTGTGCGTGTACACCGGCAGCGCGGGGTTATTCGAGTGTCGGGGGGGTGCGATGCAGAAAGGCGCGTGGGGGGAGAACTGAGACGCGGTGCTTGCGTGTACGAAATGAGTGTCGGTGTCTGATCGGCTGATCTGCCCGAACAGTGACATGTCACATCCGTGTGTTAGTAATCTCTGCTGCCCATCAGCCTGATAATGGTTTTTGAATTTCAGCCCTTTTTCTTGTTGCTCTCTTTTATAGGCTGGGCACTTATTATTTGGGAGACCACTTGGATATGAGACTGTGCCCCAAGATACGAGCAGCCTGAATGTTTTGTATGAAACAGGTAAAAAAATCACACGTGCTGTGTTCAGAGTTGAGTGTGACATAAATGCTTTAAAAACTGAATGAATAAAATCCCCAATGCAGTGATGAGAGCCAGTTTAGAGGTTCGGCGGAGATTAAAGGCGAAATTCCCTACTCTTCCCTGTGGGAAATTGAATTGACTTCTTCATGGGAACTTCTTTAAGGCATAGAAGATGTGGCTAATAGTATTTTCTCTGTGATCAGGGATACAGGTTTCAGTGCCAGTAACCAGTTATGTCAAATATGTGTGCATTGTGCCAACAACAGGAGCTTTGTCTGCTGGAAACATGTTGGTTCTCAGACTTTGCCCGGGCAACTGCTTGTGTGAAAAAAAACCCAGGTTTGGAGCAGACAACCACGTGATTGAAATGCGATGATGGAAATCTGTGTGAAACTGGTGTGCCTGGTTTAACAGTGCTGGTAACCTCCCACTTCTGTAAATACTACTATTGCCGTCCTTTCCTGGAACAAAAGTTCGGAGTGAGTTCTGCTGGATAGACGCAGAGAACACATTGCCGGTGTTCTTGTTCTGAATAAATGATTAGGAACACTTAAGAAGCCTTACAGCATCTGTAATGGTGTTGGCAGAGACAAAATGTATGTTTGTCTTGCAACCCAATCATGTTGCACGTTGGTCTGGAATATCAATTTTCATATCTAATCTTTCCTCAGGCCACATTGTGTTTTCAATTTTGTATAAAATATCTCACTTCTGGGAAAAACAAGATACACGAAGTGTAGTGGGAACATGATGCAATACTTGGTTGTAGTTGCCTCGATGTCCAGGCATGTATAATCACTCTTTTATGAAAATGAACTGAAAACACTAGACTCTGTACTTACTTAGCTGTTTAAATTATGCAGTAATGCAGTGCTGTGTAAAATTATGGAAACAGCTTTTGTCACATTTGCATCAGCCTTTAGAAAGGATTTAATCTCTGCCAAACACCCTGTCAGGAATATGAAAAAAAGTACACAAACTGTTGCTTCTATTTTAACAGTACGATTGCACATTTTACATATTCTGAGGTAGTCTTGTTACTTTAATTCACTTATTTAGAGATATTTGTAATATAAAGAAAACCCAGAAAAGTCTGAAGACTGCAAATGTCTAATTACTGTAGAACAACAGAATGGTTTGGGTTGGAAGGGACCTTAAAGATCATCTAGTTCCAATCCCCCTGCCATGGGCAGGAACAGCTTCCACTAGACCAGGTTGCTCAGAGCCCCATCCAACCTGGTCTTCAACACTGGGGCATCCACAGCTTTTCTGGGCAACCTGTTCCAGTGCCTCACCACCCTCACAGTAAAAAATTTCTTCTTAATATCCAATCTAAACCTACCCTCTTTCAGTTTAAAGCCATTCCCCCTTGTCCTGTCACTACATCCCCTTGTGAAAAGGCCCTTTCCCAGCCTTCTTATGGGCCTCCTTTAGGCACTGGAAACTGCTATAAGGTTTCCCCAGAGCCTTCTCCAGGCTGAACAACCCCAACTAAAGTAGGTAAGAACATTTCTAGGAGTTGATATTATGTCAATATATGTCCATTGTACCTATATGTATTAATTAAATAAAGTCTAAAATTATTCAAATTGAATGGTAACTAGTGTATTAATATAACTCAAAAACCTATGCCCAGAATTTTATTCATTGCAATAGTCTCATTTTAGCCAGTGGTAACTACTTAGTAAATGCCTAAATCAGAGGGGTCAGTCCAAATCTCTATGTAAATTAATATTAGCTAAGGTAATGTTGATACCAGTGGTCATTGTCAGAGGCCTAAATTTAATTTTATTCAGGAGACTAGAATTGAGGCATTATTAACATATTTTGATTTTTCATTAGAAGCAAATTGTCCAGTGTGAAAGAGAAGGGGACTTTTTTTGTGCTTTTAAATGTTGAGATGTTTTAAATGTCAAAGCTATTGTGTTTTGGTTTGTTGGTGGTTTTTCTTTTGGTTTTTGGGGTTTTTTTTGTGGCTAGGTTTGAGGTCCTCTTCTGTGGCAGTGTGTAGGAGAGACCTGAAGATCATCTTATGCCTCAGCTTGCCACAAACAGCAGACAGCAAAATGACAGTCAGGTAAAACCTAAACAGTCTTGGTTAGCTTTTTCCACCTTCGCTGACATATGAAGGTCAAAAGTCTGAGGAAGGCAGGATGCATTGTTTTGTTTGTATCATTTCTGTGTATGAGAAACTTAGTTTCTACTCCAGTTTCATTTTGTTGAAGCATTAGATAGGTACATGCTTGGTGCAGCAGGAGACATATCCTGTGAGAATGGGAATGTCTTTCCTTTAGACTTAGGTAGCAGGAACAGTTGCTGCTTTGGCCGAGTGAGTCTGTTAAGGGCACTTGTTTCACCCCAAGTGCAGGAGTAACAGGTGGAGATGGGGCAAATTTACTGCATGAGTAAGTGGGTGACATGGGATAGTAAGAAGTTTACCAAGTAGAGAGAGGTCAGGCCATTGGGATGAAGGAGTGAATGGGAGCAGGTTGATTGTAGTGAGAGGGAGCAGTGGAAGGGCAGTTGAACAGTGGAAATAGCAGTGTGAAGTCTTTTGTGAAGCACTGCATGGTATAGCTGGTTCATTGTGTGAAGCTGTGAAAGACGTTCAGCTTGGGGGTGGCAGCTATAGAGAAGGTACACTCTTGTTTTATAGATCAAGAATGGGGAGGGGGTGGTAATGAGAGACTGAAAATAGGCTGTGAAGGGAATGGAAACAGCAATAAACAGGGAGAGGATGGCAGCGAGTGGCTTGCTATTTAAAGTGAGTGCCACAGAAGGTGACAAGGAGGTACGTAGAAGGTAGTGAATGGTTTGGGGCTGGCAGTGGCAAACGCAAGGACCACGTAGTTCAGTTCACCTCTTACAATGAAGTCAGAGTTTTCCAGGCGAAGGTAAGACAGCAAGAGCAAAGGGGGTGATGTTTGTGCCAAGGCAAAGCCCTGCTAATCCATCCCGTGCAGGGCTGCGGTTCCACACGAGCTGTGAGCAGGTGTTTCGGCTCAGGGGCTGCTCTGCTGAGCGCCTGTGGCGGACGGCCCGACCCCACGGGCTCCGGTAACCCGGTTTCCAGAGCGGCTGGCAAGGCAGGCTGTGGCGAGCAGGGAGCTGGGATCATCCCGCAGCACCTGCCGCTGGCCGCTGTCCGGGAGGAGCTCAGCCAGCGCCGAGCAAGGGATGCTGCTGCCGGGGGCAGCTGCCCGAGAAACCCGGGAGCGGCGACAGCCTCGGTGAAAGGGACCTGGACTGGAGGCGGAGGGGTGGGAGAGAACAGCGCAGCCCCGACCCTCCCAACGCGGACGCGTGTGGATGCGCGTCCTTACGGGCCGGACGCGGGTGATGCTGCTCCGTGCCGCTCTCCCCGGCCATGCGCAGCCCCCGCTGGGCTCCGGTGAGGGTCTCCCCTCCTCGGGGCATGCCGGAGCTCCGGCGTCCGGCAGGCCCTGCACGGGGCAGGGCGGCGGGCTGGCGAGGGTGCCGGCGGTGCCCTGTCTCGGTGCCGGCCCCGGTGCCGGCCGCGTCGCGCCCCCCGCCCCAGGTGCGGCGGAAGTGACGGGCGGCGCGGCGCTGCCGGCGGAAACATGGCGCCGCGGCCGTGCGGGCAGCGCGGAAGGTAAACAAGCGTAGGGCAGCGGGGACCGCGGGGCAGGCCCGGGCCGCGCTGCGAGCGCCGGTGGCCCGGCGTGGGGGCTCCCACCTCCCCCCGAGCGCGGCCCGCCGGGAGGAGGGAGCCCAGGATCCCCCTTCCTCCGCCTCCTCCTCCTCCTCCTCCCGGCTTCGCCTCAGCCATTGCCCCTCTCCGCAGCCCCCCGGCGCCTCCCTCCGCCGCCCCCGGCTGTATGGTACGCGGAGCCAGGGCCCCTCTCCGCCGCGCCAGCGGGAGGAGCCGCGTCCTCAGCGTCGCCGCTGCCGAGAGGTGGGTGAAGGATCCGGCGGGTCCTCCTTGGGCGGCCCGGCGCCGCCCTCCGGCCGTCAGGGACCCCCGGCCCCGGGCTTGGGGGGCGGCCGGATGCCCGCGGGCGGCAGGCGGGGGCAGGTGGGCTGTGGGGGGTCGGGCACGGCCGCACCGAGAGCTGCCGGGTCCGGGCGTTCGCAGCCCCCGCCGGGCGCCCCGGGCAGCTGCGGCCGCGCGGCGCCGACTCCGGGCCCGCCTGCCCCGCTCGCTCGGGGGCTCGGCCTGCGAGCTCCGCTCCCTGTCTGCGAGCACACGGGCTGTGTGGGTCATCTGAGTTCCTGCCCCCAAAATGGCCATTTCTCCTTGATCGCGAAAAAATGTGTCTCTGATCTGAGCGAGCAGGGCTACCCAGGATTGGTACTGGCGCTTTGACCTATTTGGTAAATACTGAAATGTCACTTAAAAAATTAAAGTTCTTGGGTTTTTGTTGTTTGGGGCTTCTCCTCACTCCTTCAAAAGAAGAATAGGGGAACCATAAAGCTATTAGTGGATAAAAGGACAAAACTACTGAAGTTCTGGCTTCCCATGGACTTCTTTGTTATGTGTACTCATCCTTAAGATGATAACCCAGCTCCAGAGGGTCACCAATGGTGACCACCATTGCCCCAGCTCACATTCAGATCCCCTGAGCATACCACCATGCACCAACATAATTCCTGTCTTTTCCCTCCCAACACCTAGCAAATGTGTTTAATTTCTACCACATGCTCTATAAACTCTCTCACTAACACTCATCTCCTTTCACTTTCCTCAATTATACCCTGTGGCTGGTTTGAATCTACACATGTGTTGATTTGCCTTTCAGCAAGCAAAGCAGAACAGATAACCATTGAGCTCACACTGGAGACATCAGACCTTTTTCATTCATCTAGCTGTCAATTTGAGGGATATGTGTAGAAATTAAATATGAGATTTTTGTCTTTCTGAAAAATGTGGTTGGCGTTTGGCAGTGAGGTCAAAAGATGTGTGTCTTGAACAAAGGGCACAATTAATCTCATTTTCTGAGAAGGTGCTAACTTAATTA